TGGAGCACTGGGTGTTATGCACAAACAATGAATCATGGAACACTACATCTAAAACTAATGATGTAATGTATGGGGATTAACATAAGAATAAAAAAAAATCACCATCATGTGTTAGTTATATCTTCAATAAAACTGGAGGAAATCCATTTTGGTTCTTTAAAATCAGTTAATTAAAAATCAATCAATCCATTAAAATTAATTATAAGAAGAAAATACCGCTAGACTGTATATTGCAGGAGAGCAGGGGCCATATTTCTTTATCATTTTATTCCTACAGCTTAGCACACCACCTGGCTCTAGCAGGCACTCAACGAATCCTTGCTGAATGAAATACAACCCAACAGGTAAATATAATTAAGCTCTTTTTTTTTTTAAGATTTTATTTATTTGTTTGAGACAGAGAGAGCACAAGCGGTGGGGAGGGCAGAGAGAAGCAGACGCCCATGTTCAGCAAGGCGGTGGGGGTGGGGGCTGGATCCCAGGACCCAGAGATCATGAGTTGAGCTGAAGGCAGACATTTTACTGACTGAGCCACCCAGGCGCACCTAATTAAGCTCTTTTAAAGAATGAGTCTCCGTTGGGTTCCATGCTCAGCGGGGAGTCTGCTTCTCCCTCTGCCTCTGCCCCTCCCCTTGCTCGTACTCTCTCTCTCTCAAATAAATAAATATTGAAAAAAAATAAAAAATAAAAAAATAATGAGGAAACAAAGGTTCAGGACAGTTAAGTAAGTTCATCACGTAAAAGGCAAGTCAGAGATTGCAAAGCTTTTCTGTTTCCCTATCAGTTACCGCATATCACCCCCCCCCGCCCCAACCCCCAGCCCTTCCTTTCACTGCCAAGACCTCAGGCAGACCTGCAGAGTTTCCTTGTGTTTCATGCTGCCTTTTAATTGTCTGGGATACATTGGGTCATCTTCCTAATTAGATCAAGAGCCCTTTGAGGAAAGAAACCATTTCCCACTCACATCTTTATCTCCAAAGCTTGGCACATAAGCAAGCGATCAGCACACGTGACAAATGAATGAGGTATATGTGTGCTAAATAAATGAATGAACTAGCAGTGTATCTTCTGTTCTTCCAGAAATGGAGGGGGCAGGGGAGGGAGGAGAGACCCGCACTCAAGGGAGTTACTGTAGTCTATCTAGAGACAGCCTGGTTGCAGAGCAGTGTAGTCCAAACCTTGACCCTAAGCCAGTTGGCACAGTCAACATAAACAAGTGGTTCAGGCCAGGTATGATATGATAAATGGCCCTCAACTGATTGTAGCCTTTAGGGAATTTGGGCCCACTATTGCCAGACATATCACTGACCTCTGGTCTAAGGAACTTGAAATCCTTCTTCCACAGCAGAAGCAGTCCATGTGGTTGGGCTGCATCTGGGCAGAGCAAGGACTCCACTCCCTGAAGTGAACAAGGGCGAAGACATGGCTCAGCTTCCCAGGATATACTGGGGTAGAAGTTTCTTTAATTCAACTAACTTTTGAGATTGACAGTTCTTAGGGACAGTTTGGATGAAGTGGGTCGGGAGGGGGGACTCTAAGTTTCCACTAGCCCCTAAACTATTATTATCAGTAATAATAAGAATGACAATGGTCATCTTATCCTCTACAGTCAGTCTTAGGGTGTGGTGGGATTGTAGGTACCAGGAGGCCTCCCCGTCTCATTCCTCTTTGTAGCATGCTCAGTGAGGAACACATTCTCTCTCACGGGTCTCAGAGTTGTAGAGAAAAGGCAGACACCCCGTGGCAGAAGGGAATCTCTGTCCTGAGGCCTGGCTTCCTTATCTTGTTGGTCCTGCCTCATGCTACTTGTCTCCTGTCTTCATGGGCTCACCTGCACACTGGCACAGTAATCTCAGGCCTGCTTCTCTCTTCTCTGGCCAAAGAAGGTATAGGGCCATGGGGGTGGGGGGGTGGGGGGGCGGAAGCTTGGGAGATGCTGGGTGGCGCAGGTGCAGGCACAGGGCGGTGTCTTTGTTCTTTCACTCATCCCTCCCCTCCCCCTTCCTTCCCGGAAACCAGTGACTCTGCCACCAGCAGTATTGGGGATGCTGAGCTGTGGGGGCCAGGCCCAGGGAGGGGTGAGAGTAAAGGGGCCTGCAGCAGCTATCAGGCCATAAACTAGGCTGACCCCTCAGCGCAGGGCTTGCAGACTCAGCTCCCAGGTCAGCAGTCATGAGCAGAGGTGACAACAGCACAGAACTGCTAGTGCCCGGTGAGCTGGGCGGGGCAGGGGCAGGGGGAGGGGTCACATGGCCCCCTGTCCCACCTGCTAGGACCTGGAGGGTTGGGCTGGGCAGTAACACCCTCCGTCCGCTGGCATCCACAGGAATCCCCACCGTGACCCAGGCCTGGGGACTGTGGGCCCTCCTAGGGGCTGCGATGCTGCTGCTTCTCATCTCAGTGGCTGCGCACTTGTTCCGATGGGCTAGTGGCCGGAGCAAGAGCCGTCCGGGACAGGGACGGTGAGTGGGGGACAGCAGAGATAGGTGATCAAGAGCTCCCCCTTACCAAGAAGTCCCCTCATCCCCTAATCTCTGTCTTGCAGCTCTGGAGAATCTGTGGAAGAGGTCCCCCTATATGGGAACCTGCCTTATCTTCAGACTGGTAGGCGGCTGGCAGAGGGGAGGGGCACCGAGGCCACGCACGTCCCGGGTGGGTGGGGATGGGATGAGGGATTGCAGGAGGAAGAACAAGAAGTGACCAGATTACTACTGTTCCCTCTCCCAGGTCGGCTGGCTCGAGAACCAGGGCCAGACCAGCAAGATCCAACTCCTAGAGGCCCCGTCACGGTGAGTCAGTTGGGGCTAAGAGGGGAGGGAGGGAAGTGGGGGCTTTTCCAAGGGTCCAGTGAACTTCTAACAGCCTTGAACCTCCAGGCTGCAGAGAAAGTGATGTGCTATACCAGCCTGCAGTTGCGGCCTTCTCAGGGCCATATCCCCAGCCCCGGAACCCCCATCAAGTACTCAGAGGTGGTGCTGGATTCTGAACCAAAGCCCCAGGCCTCGGGCCCCGAGCCGGAGCTGTACGCCTCAGTGTGTGCCCAGACCCGCAGGACGCGGGCTTCCTTCCCAGACCAGGCCTACGCCAACAGCCAGCCTGCACCCAGCTGAGATGGAAGGGCTGGCAGAGTGGGACAAGCATCGCCCCAGCCTCCTCTGCTGCAGGGGTTACTGCTACCCTGCCCTGGCATGACTGTTTCCCAACCACCCCCCAAAGACAGGTAGCCAAGGTCCAGTCGCAGGAGGTCATGTTTCCCAAACTTCCCCTCTAAGCTGTGAGGGAGACATCTCAGGGGAATAAGTCGGTCCCCAGTTTCTTGGGGATGGAGGAAACAAAGGCAGTGGCCCCCTCTCCATCTCTCTCTCTCTCTTTCCGATCTTTTCCTCTAAGGCCCCAAGCTCCCAAGTTTCTCACTTCCTCCTCCTTATGGATTTTAACCAGATCCTCTCTGCTCCAGCTCCCTTAAAGTCTACCCCTTCAGTGTCCCCTCAGATACAGGAAGTGGGCAGTGGTGGAGGGGGTAACAGCCTGAGAGGAGAAGGGTGGGCATACTCCTTGGGAGCCCACAGTCTGGAGGGATCCTGGAACCTAGTGACCTGAGGAACCCAAGCCTGGCTTCTTATCTGAGAACCCTGGCTGGAGAATACCAGTCCACATCCTGCTCTGTTATGTTCTCAAGTTTCAAATAAAACTTCTCAGAAAGTGTTTAGATTTTTATCTAGAGGGCTTCAGACCTGCAACAGGCTCTACATGGTAGGAGTGTGAGCTTTGCTCTCTGCACAGAGCACTTCTGGGGGCGTCTTGCTGGGGAATATGGACCAAAAGCGTCTGTGGCATCAACACTGCCAGGGTGGGTGCTAGGGGTGGAGGCTGGAGCCGAGCTCAAGCTGTACTTGCTGCTGCTAGAACATCGTCAGAATTTGCACTCAGAGCCACCCCACTCCCATCACCTGGAGCCTGCAAGCTCACCAGCCCCTGACCTACTCTCCCCATGGCCTCTAGGACTGTGCTGCCACCAGCCACAACCTCAAGTCTCCGTCACCTCCCCCTACGGCTTCTGTAGAGGCAAGTCTGGCTTAACAGACCTTTCTGAGGTTTCAGGGCCAGAAGATAGTGGAAGCCAGGCTTCTACTTCCAAACATCTCTCCTTCCCACTCACAGTCCCAGAGAAAACCGGAGTAGGGAGCCGTGCTCCTGAGCCCTACCTGGTGGTCCCAATAAGGCGGACCCTCTACACACACAGAGATTAACCCAAATGCTAGATCTGCCTCCGTGGACATCAGCCTGGGCCTCCCCGAGCAGAGGCGCCGGTCGCGGTAAAGAACAGGCAGCTGAGGCTGTGTGGGAGGGAAGGTAGCTTTGGGGGCTGGCACCGGATGCGGGGAACAACTGGCAGCGGGATGTGGGGTTCTGAGGACTGCTGCTAGTCTGAAGACCGCTCAATGTGTCCGCGGCCTGGGGGACGTGAGAGCCAGACTCTGTAATTGAAGGGGTTTGGGGTCCCGCCAACCCACTGGGACGAGGCGTAAATTGAAGCCTCAAACACCACCATCGCAGGCCTTACACCCGCTCTGTCGGTCTCCGCCGGCTCAAGACCAAACCCGGGGCGCCCCCGCCTGTCGCGACGCGGCCTTGCCACGACCTCTGCGCATGCGTAAAGCTGCCCGGTCCACGGCATGCTGGGAAATGTAGTCCCGACAGTTCCCCACCCCCTACCCCCGCAATCTTCCCGGCCCCACGAGTTTAGCCCTACGCTTCTCCGAGCCAGGACCCTGCGGTTCCCTGAACAGCGCTTCCCGGTTCGCGGAACGTAGCGGCTCACTGGGTCTGGAGCTGGGTGCGATTTGAACGTTATTTTCCTTCTGGTCCCTGAAGCCTGGATTCTTTACCCTCTCTCTTCCCTACAACCTTTTAATTTTTCTGTCTTACTGGTCTGTCTCCGAGGCTCGTGCCCTAGCCTAGGCCCTCAGGACTGAAGGCCAGGACTGTGGCAACTTCCTAGTTGATCCCTGCGTCTAGGAAAAAATAAATTGGGGCAGCCAGATCCCCCTCAGACACCTTCGAGGACCCCCTTGCCTCATCTCTCTAGCTTGTCAACTCGTTTCCCAAACACCTTGCAGTTGTCTCCCCTTCTGTAGCTCCAGGGGTGCTTTCTTTAGTGACCTCCCTTCCCTGACTGGTGTAAGGGTATAAGGAGTGCCCTGTTCCTGGCAAATTCCCAGGCGCAGATCATTGGGGAAAGCCATGAGAGCCCTCTGGAGCTCCAGCTTTTCCCCTCTTCCTGAGGTCTCAGATGGGAAGATTGGGGATAAGCCCAAGACCCGAAGAGGAAGGGTCTTTGGGACAGTCAAATGTTCAATGATAGAAAGTTCTTAAGGAATTACTTGTAGGTGGGGGGGGCCTAAGGAAGCCATCCAGCCAAGACCCCTCCATCTTTGGCCTTGCTCTGTACTCTGTCAAGATGAGTCTAAACTTCCAAGCTTGTTTTGGCTATAAGGAGGGAAACAGAGCTCAGACATGGAGAGAGACCAAGTCTTAATGACTTCATTTGAAACCTTGGATCCAGACATGCCCAGAGCTAGATCTGCTTCCCGAACTTTTTGGTTATGTAAGCTAATGCATTCTCTTTTTTGCTTAAGTCATTCTAAGTTAGACTTCTCTATCTCTTGCAACCATGAGTTCTGACTAATTCTGTGGGGGAAAGACCAGCACACCAGGGCCAGCAGAAGATGCTGAACCTCTGAGATCTTCCCTTATTGCTCAACTCCTCCACCAGCCACCCTCTTCTGACATACTTAAATGCACTATAATACCATTTGACCCTAAAATATTTCTGCTTAGTGTGTGCCTCTTGCCAGGCTTTTAAATATCTAGAATTCTACAGCTGGGAGGAGGCAGATCTGGCCCAAACTTATATCCACTGCAGGAGCCACCCTACCAGCCTCTTGTTAAACATTTCCGGGAATAGGGAGCTTGCTACCTCACCAAGCGCTTGTTTCCAATGTTTCTTTTTGAGAGAACTTTTTTTGGGGGAGCCAAAATCAGCCTCCCTGTTACTTTTGTCATCAGTTCTGCCTCCTGAGCTACAATCATATAATCACCCTTCTCCCTCCTGTACATGACAGCTCTGATGGATGGCCTAAGTCTTTTTTTTCCCTCCCTCCCGGGAAAAGCTTTCTAGAGTTCCTTTTACAGACCTTATTTGCAGCCTACTCATCATTCCCACTGTTTTGCTTGAGCAGAGTCTCTCTTCAAGTGTGATGCTAGGAAGTGAATATAGTACTGGCAGCAAACTGGAGAGCCCGTCTCTTCACTGGGTACCAAGTCTCCGGGGCTTTGTTTGTAAGGAATACACTCATTTTGCCTTGCTTAAGTGAAGGGGTGTTTATTGCTAGGACACTTGGGGCAGGGAGGAAGCCAAATGGAATGGGGATTGCAGAACAGTGGCTATGCTATGACTGGGCTTCTGCAGACTGTTGCTGGATTTCGGATCTCAAATCACAGCCTCGCTGGGGACCTTGGTGACAGGAGTATGTGGGTCTTCCCACTCCTGCTCCTCCTGTCGCATAACTCTCTGACAGAGTTTCTGCTTCTTTTATTTATTCCTAATTTTTTCCTACTTTGCTAACTTGCTTCCTCATCCTCTACTGTACATTTTCTACTTCTGGTTTCTGCTTCCGCACAACTGCTTGACATTTTCTCCTCTGTCTCATGACCTCAGTTCAGTGTTTAATTTTAGGAATAGTGTGAGCACATGTTAAAAAAAATTAAATAGAGGGGCGCCTGGGTGGCTCAGGCGTTGAGCGTCTGCCTTCAGCTCAGGTCATGATCCCAGGGTCCTGGGATTAAGCCCTGCATCGGGCCCCCTGCTCAGCGGGAAGCCTGCTTCTTCCTCTCCCACTCCCCCTGCTTGTGTTCCTGCTCTTCTTAACTCTCTCTCTCTGTCAAATAAATAAATAAAATCTTAAAAAAAAATTAAATAGAACTGTAAGGTAGACACCAGTGGTTCTCTGCCAGAAGTGACTTTGCCCCCCAGGACACATTTGGCAATGTGCAGAGACATGCTTAATCATCACAGCTGGGGAGCACCCCGAGCTATTGATCTATAGGGGGTAGAGGTCAGGGATGCTTCTGACCGTCCCACAATGCACAGGTCAGCCACTCACCATACAGAATTTCAGTCCCCAAAAGTTAAAAGTGCTGAGGTTGAGAAATACTAGAATGGGGGGAAAAAAGTAAAAGGCCATTCCCCCACCCCATTCCTACTTCCAGTTGTAGTTCCCAGGGGCACCTGCTATTAACGGCTTCTGTGTTTAAGTCTTCTGGTGATTATCACTGTATCTGTCAATAATATTTAGATTATTTAGAGCAAGGGGAGTCTGGGTATATGAAAACCTTGGTGAAGCTCTCCCTTCCACAACCCCTCCGACAACTCCAGCTATAGAGGAGGAACTGTAAATGGGCTCTGCTTCCTGGCAGAGAGAATTTCCTGCAGACAAGTTTCTGGAGAACACCTCAGAGCCAAGAAAAAGGACCTTCAGGAAGACAGCAAGTCCCAGAAACAGCCGGCTTTCCAGGAACAATCAATGGCCTTGCTGAGTCTCTCCAGCTCTCTAGAAAACTAACCGGTGGATTGAATTTCTCAGCCTTTGAGGCCAGGAGAATGCAGACAAACCAGAGGGTGGAGAGACCTGCCAGAGGAAACAAATGAATCTTGGACTGAATGAGAGCTTGGGGGAGATAGGTGTGAAGGTCAAACACAAAAGATTTCCTTGAACTAGAAAATGTGATATCAGAACTAAAAATTTCCATACATAAAGCAAAGGAGAGGATGGTTACTGCTAAAACCCCCAAAGAGGTCCAGAAAATTAAACAGATGAAATATCTCAAAACATGTAACAAAAATATGGAGATGCAAATTATGTGGTGAAAGATGGGAGATTGAAACAGACTCAGGGGATTTAGCCTGCAAATTCTATGAGTTCCAGAAGAGGAACAGCAGAGGAGAGATCATAATTAAATAATACACAGAATATCCCTGAGCTGAAGAAAGATTTAGCCCCTATACAGGTTAAAATTCCTGAACTCTATGGATAAGAACAATATCACACACATTTCCAGGCAGAAAGAAAGTTTGTTCTTATTTGCAACCCTGGAAGTTAAAGGACAGCAAAACTGAATGTGAGGTAATGAAAGAATAGGCCTGCAACCAGGACCTAGCGAAAGGGGAAAGATAGTTGAAGATTTACAAAAATCATTCAGTATCTCATGTGAGAAATACTTTTTAGAAAAGGCTCTAATGAAACAACAAATGAGTTAGAACAGACTTCAAGATGGGGGAAGGTGAAGGGAGGAGAGAAATCAGTGGGGTGCAGTGAACCATGATCTATATATTTATATCTATATTTCTATATATGTATAACATGTCACACAAATGCTAAATACTCTTGAGACAGAAGGAACATGTTGTAAGGGAAATTCTAATAAGGACTAAATTATCTCAAAAAAACTCTGGAATCAGGTGGTGAGGATAAGGGGAAGGTGAGTGTTCTAGGATCTGAGGGGGAAGGAGGAGGAGGAGGAAAGGCTAAGTAATCTAAAGACCATATCTTATTGAAGTGGAGAGGAAGTAGAAGATAAGTAGAGTATGATGGAAATAGTTGTTCTGTTTTCATACACTAGAACAATCATGTGCATCTATTTAAGAGAAGGGCAAG